TCGAAAATGCAGCTTCCGCACGCGAGATTCAATTCCACAACCTCAGGGTCAGTGGCTGAGTGCCTTAGCCACTAGACCACCGCAGCAGGGCAACTGCTGAAAGTCATGAATGTGTTATCAATTATGGAATCATTATAATTTCAACCACACAACTTTCATTCAGAGTTGAGATTCCTTTTGACTGACTAGTGCTGTGCATGGAAAATGTTTCCACATCTACTTGAAGTTAGGTGGTTCCAATATTAGTGCTTATTCAACTGTTCTTTTAAACAGTGTACTGCACTGTACCGTGGTGCAAACAGGGGAAGGGAGGAGATTATAATTTCCTTGACCTAGAGCTCAATTACTAGAAAACTGAAACACCTAAGCTCATGAAGATAGATTAAATGAAAATGCAATCAGAGTGCGCTACCAATAACATATGAGGAAATCCTACCTAAAAGACTACTTAAATATTGTAACACAGACGCAGGAATGAAGTTTACGATTCCTGCAAGTACAGTGACAAACTTAAAGCATGAATGACATTTTTCTAGAACCCTTCTAGGTTAATTGAGTTAAAATGAATACTCTTTCCAAAAATAAAAAAGAGGTACTTTGAGTGACTGTGCACATAACTGCAGTAATAATATTGAATAAATGCTAGAGAAGTGAAATATGTAAAACCTTCAGTAGAAGGAACAAAGTTGATAAACGTGAAGTAACATTCAGTGAAATAGATGACTGTTATCTGGGGTTTCACGTCCCAAAACCACGACATGATTATGAGAGCAACGTAATAGAGGTCTCCGACTTTAACAGTCTTAAGTTCTTTAACGGGCACAGACATAGCAAAGCACATGGGCCTTAATTATTTTGCCTCCCCCAAAATGCAACCACTGCAATCGAAATTGAACCCCCAACCTTCAGGTCAGGAGCAGGGAACCGTAGCCGCCGATCCACATTGGTGAACTACATGCGGTACAAAGACCTGATACGTTTGAACCTAGCAACAAATAGTTTCTTCTTGGATGCAGAAAGATTAAAATCATTTTGTAGTATTTATAGCCCTATAGATCAAATGCACCTTCACTGAAGAGCTGCCTGCATAAAAAAATGCAATTGCACACTTTGCTTTTATGCTGTAGTCAAATTAGTAAGGTTACGTGGTATCATTAATGACATTGAGAAGGAGCAGCAAAAGTGAACATGTCCAATAACAAAAAATACCCCAAGATTTTCGTTTCGTATCAGCCTTACACTCTAACCCAAGAACATAAAATCTTAGCAACTCAACTGCAAGCTAATAAATGAACAAGACATAATCACTAGTACACTAAACGTAAACAACACACTCATTTTCACATGGCTCCAGACATTGATTGCTTTAACCAAATTAGGGAACAGTCTGGAAAGTACAATATGAGAAACATATCCAGTTGTTTCGATCAGAACTAAGAAGAACAAAAAGAACATCTTTTGTATGTGAATCACAAGAAAAATCATTGTTTTTTTTATTTTTGAGGCAATGATAAGTTGTGGTTTCGGGGCAACTATAATGACAGACAGTATGAACCAAGGAAGATATGTCAGAAGCTCAATATGTCCACTGTGTTGAGCTAAAAGAGTATTATGCAGGGCACAGTGTTTATCATGTCTCGTTTCATCAGCAATGAAAGAACAATAGGAGTTATCGGTAGCATTCGAGTCCAGGAAGCAACTAATACGCATTTAAAGCACAAACAGCGTACACTGAAAGCTAGCACAGTTACATATTCGTTACAGCACATTTATAATAATATATCTCAGTTTGTGGAGCCAGGACAAAATTAAATAAAGAAAAAATAGAGAACATATTTGTGGTTTTTACTTGATGTGTAGCGACTATAAAATGAATACAACTTAAGCAATACAAAAAAAAAGCTGCCCTGTACCTCATTATGCAAGACACTAAATAACTTCCATGCCCTCACCAATGCCAAGAAAGTCGTTCTGCTGTATGGCTCCACTCTGTTTAGGGGCACGCATTATTTAAAACTGTTTTCCCAGAGAAGCTGTAGCATTTCAAACACTTGCATCAGCAAATGTTTCTTACTCTAATCTCAATATTCCTTTGTGGAAGCAATGAGACTGTTGTAAAGTCATTCCATGCCAAACATCTCAGTTTTGTTCATGACCATCTGAGACTTTATCGAAAAAAAATTGGGCTAATTTTTTTATGAAAATCATATATTGGTAGGATTTCTCAGAGGAAAAAAAAGTTTTGGTCATGTAGGTGCCTTCCCGATTTCACAGAATTTCATCTGAGAAACACTTGTGTGATGAGTGAAGAAAACAACGACAGAAGTGCGGGGCAAGGCGCATCTAATGTGCGTGTGAGTGTCAGCGAATCAGCTGATGACCTGTGGTGGCCCATAGAGGTGGCGTGCCACGATTGGGCCACGGGCGACCATCACGTGGCAGTGGGCTTTGTGGCTGGGGACGAGCCGAAGCAGCGGCAGACGGGAGACAGCGGGCCGAAGCGTCGGACGCAGGCGATCCAGGTTCCAGCCTGAGGGCATCGCGGATCTCGGCGAGGCGTCTCCGCGGTCAGCCGTTCAACACAGCGATGAACGTGGCCTGGCTAATGGTCACGGTTGCGTCGAGCATCGCGTCTCGACGCACGCTCTTCGCTGGACGGGCTGGCCATTCCCCGCATGGAGCATCGCGTCTCCGATGCGGGTTGACTGCTCCGTAGTCGCACCCATGCCATCAAGCGCCGTTGTCACCAAAGCGTCGCACTTCGGCAAGGGACGAGCGAGATGTTCCGCCGGGCGAGACGCGGGCGTGTGTACGGAGGACCATGGAGCCGGGCGAGGATTCAGGGTGGCCGAGGATTCAGATGCCAGGGGAGTTGTGGCTGAATCGAGGAACGCCGAGCGGTGCCGAGCCGTACCGAGCGACGCGCCAGCCTCGGAAGTGGGCCGCGAGCTCACGAGCTGTGCACCCGAGGGGACCTGGCTGTGCCCTGGCCAAGGCGAAGAACGCCGGTGAGTGAGCTGCCGCTCCGCAGCTGTAGCGAGCAGCATTTCAGCATGGCACAGACGGTGCTGTGCTGGCCAGAACCCGCACGTGGAACCGCTACGCCCGGGCGGTGATCAAGAGCTTGGAAACGACGTCCGAGGTCGCGCTGGTCCAGGCATCACCGCCACCGCAGCTGGAGGGTGAAGGCCAGGAAGGCAGGGGAAGCAGTGCGCCGCTCGAGAGGACGAGTTCCTGGGAGCGTTCCTGAGCCGGATGTGGGACATGTACGTGTCGGCCAGGTCGAGCTCCGGTGTGTCCGGTCAAGGTCTAGTCCGTCGGCCTGTACAAGGTCCAAGGACGGGGCCTGCTGAACGGCTCCTGCCTGGGTGCAGTGGCCGGGAGCAGGTTTCGTGGGCGAGGCCTACCGGGCGTGGTCCTAGGGAGCCGTGGCCTAATCCTGGACCTCCGGAGTTGCGACCCTGACTGCTGGGTTGGCCGCGACATCCGAATCACGGCGCTGCACACGGTAGCGTATCCATGCGCCGTCAGCCGTTCCACTCATGCCATGAAATAAAAATGTTCATGTTAATCCTTTCTCGTCCGCTATCAACAAACATAGTGACGAACGTCCCTTATCCGTCACAACTTGTTAAAAACTAACTTTGGGACTCGTTTCTTGTTTCAAAGCGAAAATCGGTATACATAATCAAAGCATTTACATCGGTTCAAATCTATCATATATGGCTAAAGCAATTTTCCTAAAATGTTCTATGTTTACATTTTTTGTTTTTTATTAATACCCCATTATGTATGAATACCCCAGCAATCACTAATTACTCTATAAATGATACATTTCTCAGTGAAAACATTTTCAGACCAATGAGTTTTGTAAATAATGTGAGGAAAAATCACAAATTTGGGAAAATTTTCCTTTACATTAAGATAAATTTAAGAAAGGGAAAGAAGACGGCCACCTGTTTGTAGTACGAAACCACAAGGAAATCCGTACAAATTTTTCAGAAAAAAAAAGCCTTTTAGTTGCCAAAAATTTGTCCTGGTCCGGGGTTCGAGCTTAGGACCAATGCCTTTCCAGGGCAGTCGCTCTGCCAATTGAACTAACCAGGAAGCTAGCAATCGACAGCGCGAGAGCGAATTCATCGACAACTCGAAGCACATGGACACAAGCATAGCAAATAAGTTCTGCGAAAACCTGCAAGGTGGCGGAAGGGTTAAGAAAGAAAAAGAAGACAACCACCCGTTTGTAGCACAAAGCCACAAGGAAATCCATACAGATTTCTCAGAAAGAAAAGCCTCCTAGTTGTCGAAAAAGTGGTCCTGATCGAGGGTTTTAACCCGGGACCGCACCTGCCAGGTCGATGCAAGTCATGTTCTTGCGTCATATGACCTAAGAAAGGTGGACTAGACGGAGACCAGAGGAATAAGCGGATGGTCTTGGCCAAGGAGCTACGCCTCAAAACGGCAACATGCACGACTGTTTGAAACGTGCACCAATGCGAAATATCCTACGCACAAATTTTCGCGATTGTGCCGGCACGATTGTAGGTCTCCAATAGAGCATCCCCAACATCACTGCCATTCTTACGACATTCTGCAAAATTCAAAGGCTCTCCTGTGACCAAAAATTTTTTATCTCCGGGATATTTTAGAAATTAACTTGGATACACAGAAAACCCACAACAGGCTTGGGGTAGCCTCAAAATTTGGTGGCACCACTTCTTTAAGCATGAGACAAAATCTGATTGAACAAAGCTACCATGAAAGAGGGTAAAAATGAAAAAAAAAAAAAATGTAACGAGGTAAGTGACATCAGAGTTCTGGCTGGTCACAAGTGGATAAATATTATGTTCTTGCTGTTCTTGCTGTCCTTGAGTCACATAGGTACAGTGAACACAAAAAAGATGGAGCGATCTTGTGCGAATATGAATACACTGAGAATGTTGCTCCGAGTAAATGTGGTTGAGCACATGCAGTACTAAAAGAGATGATTGCCCAGGTGAATCCAAAGGTGTGTTTTCATGTTTCTCTTGTCCTTGATCACGTCGGTGCACTGCCAGCAGGAATGCAGTCCACCTGCATAACCACCCGGGGCATGCACTTCAGTAAAGTTCACCAGTCGTTTCTCAACAAAACACACACATTGATTCGTGCGAAAATCTGTTAAAGATAACTATGTTGACGAAACGGGCAAACTTTAAATCGATTCAGAAACTTGAGTGGCTAGATTAACTACTAAAATGTGCTCGGTGCACAAGAAACAAATTCAACAAGCAAAAATAGACGATCCATTGAAAGAGCTAAGCGGTCACGAATATACGAGCTCATGACAGCAATATGGGTGCCAGTGTCTACCAAGGCTGTAAGAGATAAACCATCCACTTCATCGATCACGTTCTCATCGGTCGGGAGCATCCACAGAGGAACCGGAGAGCAAGCTTTATCAGCAGAGTCACCTTCAGGAGCTGTAGCCGTTAGTTTCTAGATATAAACAGCTGGGCAAAGCAATTGGATGAGGACGGAGAATCAGGTGAAAGCAGAGACTGGGAAAATCTACGTTAGGGTGAAGGTGAGCGACTGTACTAGGCAGTGCTCGGGTAGTAACTAGCTGAGCCATTGCGGTGTGGTGGTTCCTGGTCAGAAAAATGGGCTGGCGAGTAGAGGTTGGGGACGCTTTGTCTTGCCCGATGTGGTGAAGTCCACGTTCTTCAGCAATGATGCGAAATGTGTTCTACTCGTTCGCATCGAAAGCAAATCGGCCTGTCGTCAGATGTCCCCCATGCATTTGGGTCACGGTTGTGTGGAGCAGGGCTGCGATAATGCTGTAGATGGTTCGAGGTAGGTGAACTGACAACATCGGGACAGTGGACAGAGCAGAGCATGTGAATGCCCGCATTGGCTAGTTCTTCGGTGCACAAGGTTTTGTATCAGCGATATGGTTGGCTGACGGTTTACTTGGCGCCAGTAGCCCTCAAGAGTGCGGGTGATATGGCTTCGATTTCACGGTTTACAATTCTGGTAATGTCACCAAAGTGTTGAATGGACTGGGCTTTTATACAGAGGTCCTCACAAGATGATGTCACAGCAGTGTCGAGAAAACAGGTAAAGTGGTGGGCAATGTGACAAATTTTAGCCTCTTGAAAGCATCGGCGCTCCAAGATAACATCCTGAATGGTTGCACAGTCTTTGAACACAAAGAAGTTAAATGCATCGTCAGTGATGCCCTTGAGCACGCGCACTACCTTGTCGGCTTTGGCCATGGTTACATCGACATTGCAGCAAAAGGTCAGAACATCTTGTATATACGCCAAGCGTGACTCAGAAGATGTCTGAAGATGGGAGCCATTGTTTTTCTTAGCAGCCTGACCAAACAACTCGAGTTACTTGGTCCTCCATACTTTCTAGGTGGTGATCGCTTCCACATTGTTGTTAAACCACACCTTGGTCGTCCCATGTAAACAGAACATGAGGTCTGCCAGCATCGAGGTTGGGTCCCACTTGTGATCTCTTTAAAATCAGCTGCAAAGGACACGCCATATTTATTCTAAGCCTTTCCGGAGAGTTTAATATCACCTGGGCGTTTTCGTTTTTGCGGAGCATGTGGAGAGAATGTTCACAATGAAAATGAATTATATCACGAGTCGCATGGACAGCATTAAAATTTGTCTGTTTCGTTGGATCATACTAAAAGAAGACTAAACTGTGTGAGAAGTTAAGACGAAAAAAAAGAATGCATACGACACTCAGAAGTGCAGTCCAAGCACAATGTGTGTTTCTTACATTCGTTTTAACCTATAGCGTTGGTTACCCTTATTTCAAGAGAGGATATCTTCCCTTGAAAATCAGGGAGCGCATTTGTGAAAATAGCTTTCTCTATCTGATTCAGCTTCATCGATTTGGTAGCACGCGCTTCAGTTGCCTGCGTGTGAGCACTGCCAAAGCTCACAGACGGGCCTTTTTTGTATACACTATAATGAAAGCATACTATAGCCCGCATATGCGCCAGCCAACGTTTCTAGAACTAGGTAAGTTGCAAAACTCCCCACGTCAGACTACTCGTCACAAGGCGCCGGGACAGCTTCCGGTTTGGTGGCACAGGCAGTGCAACAACCTTCCGCTAGCAGACGAAAACACAGTCGTCGTGGCAAGAGGCTGTGGCAGCCTTTCTGAAAGAGCTTTGCCAACAGTATATTACCGGGATTGATTGTGCTGTTGCAGAAACTTAATACTGCATAATATTTAGCAGTGTAAGGCAAATACAGTATAATTATTGCTTTCTGAACTGCCCATAATAAACAATACTTGATATATATATAGCATATCATACAAGTCTGTCCGATAGTTGCTAGTTGGTGTATATTTGCAATAGATTTTTAGATGCGAAAAACCCAATTACAATGTCTGGTATCCTCTTTTGTGGCTGGGTTTTCCGTGCCTGAAAATAAATTACAACTATGTGGCGCGATCCCGTGGCTTTTGTCTAGTTATGTAGTCAGCTTATTATTTTTTTTGTTCATGTCAGTCACATTCTTTAGCAACTTAGACGGTCGAAAAGCTATGCATGCGAACATTTTCTTGAGCATGTCTTCCCTCTGCTTCTTCTTGAGTTCCTCTAATGAAACCTGGTAAAGCCCAAACTCCATAAGCGCGAAAATGCACGCGACAGCGACGAGCGACGCTATGAGCGACGAAACAGGGCGTTCGCGCGACGTGCCGCGTGCTCGTTTTCGCGCGATCGCTCGGTTCTCCAGATTTGGAAACCGTCGCTCATCGCCCGGAAGTGCTGGGCTCAAGCAGCCAATAGCGAAAAACCGGAAAAGACGAAGACTACATAGGTGCACGTGACCCTGCCCAAGTCACGTATGCCCAACAAAAAATAACGCAATGTTTATTACGCATGCGCATATAAAAATGCTGCAAGGCAATAATAAACACTTTTTGTTCCAATACACAACAATATATATTATTTTTAAATTGGAAACCGCTCGCTACGCGGTTTTCTTGGTGCGAGCTGACGGCCTCATGCCAGCAACAGTGGAATTCGCTCGCCGAAGCCGTCGCGTGAATGAGGTTTGCCTGCGCTAGCGACTGATCGCGCGACGCCGATCTACGTCGCGTCGCTCGTCGCTGTCGCGTGCATTTTCGCGCTTATGGAGTTTGGGCTTAACACAGCTGCAGCCAAAGCTTCGAGCAGAGACCGCACTTTGGGGTATCGGTGAGCACTTCGTAGTCATTACTCACGAGTCTGCCTGCTGACGCATGGGGACAACATGAACACACTTGAAGCTTTTCATTGTCCTCGAGAAGCTCGGCCAATCGGGTGATGGTATCTGCATTGCCGGGCGACTTGGCTAAGCGATGGTTGCTAATGATGACTGCCATGTCTTTCGCGTATTTCTCCACTAATAGTGCTATTTTTTTTCTTTGAGCACTAGAAACACCACAAGACGTCTTGCCTCATCATTCTCAACAACCTCCCGCCAGCATGCAGCACATAAACAAAGGTTTTCTTTGTCTTGAAGCGAAATGACGCTACTTGTTGACGGCATGTCGGGACTTATTTCACTGTCTTCGAGCTCCCTGCTCGGAGGTAGTCTATTCTTTTTCCCCGATGATATTCTGGAAAGTACCCCACTCCTATCGGGCAGCTTTCGCTTCTTTGTCATGGGTTTTGAAAGGTAAGTGGGCAAATGCAGGAATTTTCGTGGAATGCATCGTTTGACAAGGTCCCACTTTCCTCTGGCGATTCGTGCCTTCTTACCATTGATGACGTGAGTGAAGGTCTCCAGGATGTCCTCGTGAAAGTGCATATCACACACACGTGAGGTGCTGGGTAGTTTCTTATCTGCATGAGGAGTAGCGTGGTCCCACACCTCTCGCTTCTCAGGTAGACGTGGGCACAAAAGAAATTTTGTAATGTCTCATTTCCTGTAGCCACTCTACAGCCGGGAACGCAACATCTGGGCATGATGAAAACATGCAACACATACAAAGCAGAACAGGGCACGCTGACGCACAAAACTGTTTACGCAGAAAGAAGTCTCCACGAATATCGACGCACTGCAACATGCACAGCCGACGGAAGGTACGGGAGTGACACGAGCGAGCCCGCAGTGAGCGACTCCGGGTGTGACAGCAGCGCCACATTTGTCGCTGGCAGCGGTGGCGCTGTGCAACATCGCTCAGTTTTACAACTTACCTACTTCTAGAAACGTTGGCACCAGCTGCATACTGGTTATTTTCATTCATCGCATTAAACCATACTTCAGACAAGAACCACTCTCTGCACGCCTTCACATTGTGTGTTGGACCGTAGCTGCTAAAATCCTCGTCAGGCTGCTGTATGTGTCTCTCTGCTGGATCAGTTCCTTCCCTCTACACAATGCATGGCCTTATGCGAGTAAAAAAGTTTTTACCACAGATTGCAGAACTGTGAGCAGACTTCAATATTATGCACCTTATGCAACGAACAACCTCATCAATCAATAATCAATGTATATTGATTATTGAAATAGTTAATCTTTCTATCAGCAGAATCCAGCAGGATGGTTAAATGTTTTCAAATAAAACAACGAAGTCAGCGTTTTTTTTCTGGCCCATGGGGGGGAGGGGGCTAAAACCGGAGGGCCCGGTTCATTTGAACCCTGGATAATCCGCCCCTGGCACACGGGTGCCGCGCTCCCTGATAAGCGAGGAGAGTTACCACAAAGCATAGTCATACAACACCCCCCCCCTCCCCTTTCCCAACTCTCGCGGGAGCCACTGGACTTGCGCACTGCGTGATGAGTTCGTGATGAGTAATCGTAGAATATGCTGGATGTTGGTTGTAGCGCTAACGCACACGGTGACACTTGTTGTGTAAATGTGTCACAGTCGGTATTCGAAAGACATTGCACTGTTTTCAGGTTAAGCGTCATACGTTAGTGCTGCAATAATGCATGACATACCGTTGCGATGACATACCACATTCTCAACATTAGCGCCCACATTTCTCGGGGCACGAAATACGAATTAAATAACATGCATCAGTTTCTTCAGAATCATGCCAAAGAAAATAAACGGCAGTACATCACCTCCGAATGTTGGCTGCTTGACGGTAAATGCACACATTTCGACGTACGTGTGCCGTCCATTGTGCGCGTTTGACGTTGCGCGTTGGTGCGTACCGATGATACCATGACTCCAGTTGTCACAGACGCCTCAGATGACACCTTCGCGAGTATTTTCAGCGAAGTGATCGAATCTCCGCTGCGTCAAAGTCACGTCGGCGCTTTAGTGACGGCGTACAAAACTTCTCTGACGAGTCTACTAAATGAAAGTGGCGCGTCCGTCCACCAGAACCCATTAGAACTTATTCTATAAACATAGCACCAGAGAACACTTGCACCAAAGTGTTCTAAACATTTGATAGAAACTGGTAAGTGTTCTCCGCTTGCACCACATGGAGTCACGGACAGGAAGTAAATAACGCGCATTCCGCGCCGTCTCGTGGCGGGCTGTTCACAGCACAATTAGATTCGGTTTTGAATTCGAATTAGACGCATACTCAATTTTCTGGTGCATTTCTTACTTAGCAAGCGAGTGGTTGCATACATGGAGTAAGGAATAAGTTTTCCTTCCTCCCTGGGTTGTATACATTTTGAGACAGATTGTCGTGTGCGAACTAGTTGTTATTTCTTTGAAATTTCTCTATCTCGTTTTTAGCACTAAACGTTCTGCGAAGAGTGTTCCCGTAATTAGACCTGAACTAAACGCGCATTCTGACAAGTGCGCCGAGGTGGTCGAAAAGAAAAAGGAAAAAAAAATACTGCTTTGAACTGCTTCAACGCGAACGCGTTGTAGCCGAGAACCGCGATCAGGATGACCCGCGTAACTCTGGCAGACTTCGCTTATTCTTCTAGTTACTCCAATCTCGTGGTTCGGCTCCACGGTTATTACCTGCCCTAAGTAGACATACTCTTTTACAACTTGAAGTGCACTATTACCTATCTCAAAGCGCTGCTCTCTTCCGAGGTTGTTACACATTACTCTCATTTCCTGCAGATTAATTTTAAGATCCACCTTCCTGCTCTTCTTGTCTAAGTCCGTAATCATGAGTTGCAGTTCGTCCCCTGAGTTACTCAGTAATGCAATGTCACCGGCGAAGCGCAGGTTACTAAGGTACTCTCCATTAACTCTTATCCCTAACTGTTCCCATTCTAGGCCTCTGAAAACCTCCTCTAAGCACGCGGCAAATAGCATTGGGGAGATTGCATCCCCCTGCCTTACACCATTCTTGATTGGCATTCTGTTGCATTATAATACCCGCGGAGTAATAACCACGGAGCCGAACCACGAGATTGGAGTAACTAGAAAAATAAGAATGCGGTGGAGCACATTTGGCAAGCACTCTCAAATAATGGCAGGTAGATTGCCAATATCCCTCAACAGGAAGGCATATAACAGGTGCATCTTGCCGGTACTTAGCTATGGAGCAGAAACCTGGAGACTTACAAAGAGGGTTCAGCTTAAATTGAGGATGACGCAGCAAGCTATGGAAAAAAAAGGGGGGGGTAGGTGTAACCTTGAGAGAAAATGAAGAAAGCAGAGTGGATTAGGAACGAACGGGGGACAAGGATATCATAGTTGAAATCAAGAAGAGGGAATGTACATGGGCCGGGCATGTTAGCGCGTAGACAGGATAATCGCTGGTCATTAAGGGTAACTAACTAGATTCCCAGAGAAGTCAAATGGGTTAGGGAGAGACAGAAGGTTAAGTGGGCAGATGAGATTAAGAAGTTTGAGGGTATAAATTGGCCGCAGCAAGCACAGGAACAAGTTGACTGGCAGAACATGGGAAAGGCCTTTGTCCTGCAGTGGACGTAGTCAGGCTAATGATGATGATGACAAAGGGTTAAGACAATCTGCATTTCACGATTGCCAGCTATACATGCTATCATATGTCTGGTCATATGTCTGCTCGCCCAGTCAAAAGCACATAAGATGAAGTGAAACCAGATGATTGCTGATGCTTTAGCAAAGGTGGCGCTTTTGGTGCCAATCATTCCGGTTTTCCCACTGACAGCATACAATTGCACGATTCAGAACGCTAACATGAAAAAAAATGCTTATCAGACCCTGCCTTGACAGCTTCTCCTAGAATATAAGCAACTATTATTTTCCTGGAACTGTGAATAAACTTCGCTGCCAGGATACCTCCCTCAACTTTTACCTGCATAGAGCTTTGAGCAAGTCAAGCGCTGTCTCCTCTGTAAGGAGGAGGAAACAATTAGTCATTACCATTTTCTGTCCTGTAACCTGTACACGTCATTGAGGAGAAGATTCAAAGCACCACCTCTTTGAAACTTGGGTCTGGAAATATCCGAATAAGTTGCTTATTCTTTTGGCGCTTCTACTCTGAGCTACAGTAACACGGTATGTTTACTACGCCATTGAGGAATTCATCAGTCAGACTAAAAGAGCATTGAGCTCAATTTTTCATCCTTTTAAACACTACAATACTAATATTCCATAATTATGGTTGTTGTATTATTAACTATTCCTAGTTTATACAAGAAGTATTGCAAAGAAACACTTAAAAAGCAAACAAAAAATTTCACCTAATACTCAGCCAATCCCCAGCATTGGGTAAGAGCCATGAGAAGAGGTGAAGAAGAAGAAAAAGCCATGCCAGACGCAGCAGAACAGGCGTGCACCTACATGGCAATGCGGACAATTCATGCCCAATATCTCTCGTATATATCAACCTTCAAGAGCTTTAGTCAACATATCTCATGTCAACAAGCCACTGGCATAACGAACTGAATTTAAAAGGCGAGAAGTTTCTAGCTCAATTGCTTTACAAAGCTTCTGATGTTCTTTTTTTGTCCACAAAAAACCACTATGATGTTTCCTTTACTGGCTGCCTATGTACTCAACCAACGAAACAAGAGGCTCGTCTTATTGTTAGGCTCAACATTATTTACAACAAACAAGCAAATATTTTTCACGATGTAAATGTGAAAAAAGTAATGTGACTAAAAGGATAACTTACCACTGGCAGGGACTGTACCTGCAATAACATTCTAATAATGCGTCCGGTGCTCTACCACTTGAGCTACTCCGGCGGTGTTCCTACCATCAATTTTGTGGCATTCAAAACTAGGAGTGTTGGTCAGCTGTGGCTGGTAGTTATGGCATGTAAAACACAATTTTTTGTGTGTGTGCTAGCGTAACGACATATGAGACCTTTTAATGAGCTAGCAGCATAATTCCAGCATGCATATACACATTTTGGTTACAGAATTTACTATTTGCACATCCCTACCATTAAGTCTATGGCTGATGTTCTTCAAGATGTACCAAACCCTGTTCAGAGAGCTCAAGTCCACTGTGCACAAAAACCGTTTTTCAGCCCAACTATTTAAATACACCTTGAAACGTGTTCACAGACCCCACACCTGTGGAAAATCAGTCTGAGATCGCCTACAAGTACAATGCAGGAATTGCAAAGCGACATAATTCCGACGGCGAAACGGGCAGGGGAGGACCAGATTTCAACCATGCAGCGTTCTTAAACTGAGCTTTTTGAACAGTGCTCAACAAGGCACAGTTTTGGCCTAAAGAATACGACGATCAGGCATGTAATCAGAATTTTTTTTTCAGGGGGGGGGGGGGCACCACTTTGATTTCAGGGGGAACCCCCTTAAAATAGTAAATGGTCGTTTTTCACTCTCTATGCCATGGCGGAAAAAAAATGGGGGGGGGGCACGAGTCTGGTGTGCCACCTCCTGGCTACGCCACTGAATGCTAATTCAAACGAAAGCGGGGGGGGGGGGACACTTGCACAGTTAAATCACCACGACGCATCTGCTTGCAACAGCAATCGCAACCCCTTACTGAAAAATGTTTGTGAGGACACGCAGGACTAATGAACTGATTGACGTTATTTTTTTTCCCTAATATTATAGCCTGTGTATGATGAGAAAGTCACTTGCACAGGAGGCAAAATGCCAGTCATTTTGAAAATGATTGCATTGAGTCAGCATAGACTTTGGACAATCACTTACAGAGAAGTTTTAAATTTACTTCGCTAGTTGACAGCACTATTTCAAGGTGCAGTTCTTTAGCCACCGGTAGAACACCTCAGCCCGATAAGCTCGGCGCCTCGATTGGAGGAATGCTCACTGGCAGACCAAGAACGGAGCAAGAAGCTGAAGTGCTGCAAAGGGTATAACCGCCTCTCCAAATATGAATAAAGAGACCTGAACTCAGCCAGCTGTTCAGTAGTAACATGATTGATTTACAACAAGTGAACTCCCAACACGGTCACAGATATTCCTCTTGGCGATTTCTTCTCAACTACAAGGGCAGCCCCATTGTAGAAAGTGCAAAGATAGAAAGAATATGGTAAGAAAAGGAAAGTTTGAAAAAAAGAAATGCATTTACATCGGCAGATCAGTGTTGCTACTGGAAATTCGTGTCTTTAAAACCGAAGTTTCTATATAACATTAATGAGAACTGACAAACAATTATGCCAATCATGCAAAGAAAACCAGTCCTTAAGTAACTAATGGCATCTTTCATTGCCGTTAGTGTGTAAAAAAGTACAGTGTAACAATTAGAAATTCAACTACCCTAAAGGCCACTAGTTACAGGTGCAAATTACTGAAAAAGATAACTAGTTATTGATAACATGCTACTAGTAACAAGCTACTGCCCAAGACTGCAATGGGTAGATGAAAGCACAAAGGCGATCAGCATCAGATGTAATGCAGTATGGGTGTGACAAGTGACAAAATAAATCAGTCAACCATGAAGCTTCAGTATGTTGAAGAAGTGGCTATGTCTAGGCAAAGAAAAGTGAAGTAACAGTGCAGTCAAGTTAAATTGTCAAAAAATATATAATAAGTGCTTTAACCCTTTCACAGACACTCTCCCGAGCATTAGATAATTGAAATGAAAGTTTTTGAAAGTCTCTACGCATTGCGACACAGCAAAATAATTACTTTGTATCTGAATACATACACACATGAAATACAATGAGAGACAAAGAAATATAGTACGAAAGAGACTAGAAAATATCCCTACATAAAAATAATTTAAGAGACTCATTAGGGGTGAGTATAGCAATAGCTGCATGATACCTACAAGAAATAAACTTTGAAGTATCTTGTATATTCGTAATATTATTAAGTGAAGGTGCACATTATGTCTGTCAATTTATATGGTACGTTTTACCAGATAGTGCTTCTTTTTCAATTTGTTTTGTAAATGTATTAATGAGGTTGAATAATAATAATAATATTAATAATAGATGCAGTTTGACGTCCCAAAACCACAATTTGATTATGAGAGGTGCAATATTGAAGGGCTCCTGAAATTTCGAACACCTGAGGTTTTAATGTGCACCTAAATTTAAGCACACAGGCCTTAATCATTTTCAGCTCTATCAAAAATGC